ATAATGTGGAAGGTCGACCTTGTTTCTTCCCATGGCAGGATGGTTGTGGTTGGACAGTGACCTGTGGGTGGTTGGACAGCTGTGCTGGCCTTTGCTAGTTATTCTGCTGCTGCACCCATTGCATTTTTTTTATACCCACTTTGCAGACTAACCACAGGAGCAGGAATTTTCTATTTTTGCCATTTACTAGCACACCTGCCCAGGGAACACTGCTGTGCTGAGTCCTGGGCTGTGTTTGGAAGGACTACAAGCAACATTTCAGCTGTCCACATTAACTTGCCTGCCCTCATTCTGTGGCAGCATTCCCAGTATCTTTAAATAATGTGTAGGAGTTGAATTGACTTTTCATTTGGTTTGAACAGAAAGAAATGCTTTAAATGTAGACAGAAAACCAAAAGCTCAGTATGACATGTTCAACAATGGAATGGGCAGGTATGTGATGGTATCTGTGAAGAAACTGTTGCATTCTCCTTTTAAAACTCTGGTAAGTATTCCTGTTCTGATACTTGTCCTCACATCCCCCCGTAGAGCTTGCCTCAATGTGATTAATTCCTCAATATTCTTTTTCAATTTCACTCTATTTTTTTTTTTAACTACATTCCACAGACAAGGAATAACTGTTGTCTAAATTGTTTGTATGAGCCATGTCACTGAAGATTTAGTGTGCAGTACGCTCATTGTCACACCAGTAGAAATGGATAGTGCTGTATAAAACACAGCAGGTGTCCCTTTGGGAGACTGCAGCAGGAGCATTTCTTCAGACATCCGAGGGGCTGCATCAGCTTGTCGGGGTCAGCTGGTTCACTGAGCAGCTCTACTCCTAGAGCAGGCCAATGCTATCAGGCACCATATCTCCTTACTGCTTTGGGGCACCCCAGATATTAGCAAATACATACCATTTTATTGTATGAAACAATACAACAACACCTTCTGGTCTGTTCAATGTTATATGAATTATGTGTAAAAGAATAAGACAAGAAGCAGGATATGTAATGAGCTCATTTTCAGCTAGCTCTCAAAGTCAGAAAGACTGTGAAATGAACTCTGCCTATTCATTGCCAAAAAGCAATTGCACTTTGAGAAGAAACTGATCTCCATTAGGATGAAATTCCAAAGGCCTCTGTCTAAGTATGTTACAACCTTATTCTTTAGAATCCACCCACTTATTCCACTGCCCGGCAATACTTTTTTAAACATGGGCACTTTAGGTGGATAAAACGTGATACCAAAGGTGTATCTTTTTAGTCATTCTGTGACAAAAAAAATAAATCTATAATTAAAATCAGCCAGTAAGGTTCCTCTGCTTAATAATGTTGCTCCTTACCTTCCAGCACCTTCCAGCCTGGAGACTTCTTTTTCTCTTTCTTTTAGTCTGAGAAGCAACCGGATCAGAACCAGAACCTGAACTTGTCAGGTTTCCTACAAGAAACAGGCAAGCTTTACAGATGTGAAGCAAGACTTATCCTCCAGATTTTGTCAAATACATACTATATGCACTAGTTATATCAATACGAACCCCACTGAAAATATGGCTGCTTTCACTTCTCCTTGCTTTAGACACTTAACACAGATGATCTCTCTACCATTATTAACTTGTGCTGAACTACCATAAAACAGAAAATAAAACCAAGGGTGGGGGAAGTTGAAGCATGTATTAATAAAAAATAAGCTATATACCTGTCCCAGAATATTTGTTGTCTCCATTGGTCTCCTGGAGCATCTAAAACCAGCTATATTGACTCATCTAAAAAGGTATTGCCTGCCTGTCACTGAGCTTAATAAAACAGCAGTAGTATTTCACCATTCAGTTGCCAGATATAAAACCAGTATCAGTTTATATCAGTAGCCACAATTTAGTAATTCTGACATTTGAAAACAAGCAATACTGGAAATAAGACAGAAAAGGGAAAATACTGCAGAGTCATGAGGATTTAAACAACAGAGAGATCAGACTTAAAATATGACACATGAGGAAGGTATTCCATATGTCTGCATGCTAACTGCTTGTTTTAGATGTGGACTAAGTCTGGTGTATAATTATGCTAATAGCTGTCAGCTGGATTAGAGCAGACAGTCTGCTTGGGAACACGGTGATTTTTGTTCCTGCCAAGTGACTTTTCAAACTTTGCAATCAGCTAATAACCTGCCTGTAGAATGTAGATTATAAAGGAGAAATTTCCAGGAAATAGGAAGAGTTCCAGAATGCTGAAAGTATTCTCACACTCAGGAAAATTTTCTATGACTATTGTGTCTATCACAATTAAAATTCTGTGTCTGTCCCCAGGCTTTCCCGCATCTGCCTCTGTTATGGGGAAAAAACTAATTCTGAAAATACATAGAACCATTACAATACAAATTCATTTGTAATTCAGTCATTCACAAATTACTATCATTAAAATAAATCTAACCCCAGCATCAGAAGAACGTCTCTGAAGTCTGATATTTGTGTGATGGGGAAATGGGACTGAGAATGGCAGGAAAAGCAAGAGATTTCAACTGCACTATCCCATGGCCACAGAAGGATTATTCTCTTGCTGATTCTTCTCACCCAGACAAACCAGTGTAATAATTTCCAACAGGTAAAAGATCTAAATGCAAACAGAAAGAAGTCTAAATAAATGAAATCATTAAATCTGGTTTACAAATCTAAGGTGGTGCTGTGGCATTGCTGAGGTAGTGCCAAGGGCTGCCTGTCAACAATAAGGTGCTCCAACAAGTACTACATAAATAGGGTTTCCATACACAACAGGTTCTGCTTTAAAGATATAAGAAGTGACAGAGGAAATGAAGTAAAGAGGGTGGAAGAAAAATTTAAAAAATGGTATATTATATTTAATATGGTAAGAAGTCAACATCAACTTACAATTTCTTATTTAAATTTAAAAATTTCTTATTTCCCATGCTTGTCCCAAGAATTCCTAGAACAGATGTACAATGGCACTAAACCTTATAATTTTTATTGCTTTAGGCAGCACACCAAAGCTGCACTACATGACTGCCTTATGTGGTAAGTAATGAAACTTCACCTCTCCAATCTGTGCAGTAACAAACTGCTCAGGTACATAAACTGAAAAATCAGTATTTCTCTGCTGAGGCAGAGTAACGTGACTATTAAAACCCCTTACTACTGACCAAGTACTTCAGAGTAGGCTTGTTTTGTTCTGCCTTCTGCAGATCATTCTACCTGAATTTATTTCCCCAAACAAAATTGCCACCATCCAGTTCAGGCTAAATCCTTATGGGCAGAGACATGCAGCATTATTGACTTTAAGATTTGCAAAGTAAGTTGTTTTTCTGGGGAGGAAATTGCTGCTTTTCAAAACTATTTCCTGCCTCATACATACAGAATTAAACATCAGAGAGATCTAGTTTAGACTGGATGTCCTTTCATTTTTTTCTCCTTTAAAGATCCAATAGTAGCTACCCATAAGATGGTTGTTGTGCTATAAATACCTACTGGTTTCTTAGTCTATTTTCTCTTCCTTTTTTTTTTTTTTTACTTAATTTCCCCCTTCTTTAGATTCCACTTAATCACATCCTATTTTTACATTCCCTCTCTCCTTTTTTTTTTTTTAATCATTGAGATCAAATTAAAGACAATTCCAAATAATTACAAGACTAATTTTTTTCTTCTTTCATGTTTTGCTTTCAGAATCCCTTAAAGTGCTAATTTTTGTGATGAAATGCTTTAGCACAGCAAAGCAGAACATGCTTACAGCAATGTAAGAACATCTTTTTGACACTACGCTTGTGAGTTCCATGAGCCGCCTGCAGCCCGGCGCAGCAGCGCGGCGGGCAGGCAGCGCCGGCAGGGCCGCCCTCCGTGAGGCAGGGAGCAGCCGTCTCCTCCCTCCGCCGAGCGCCGCGGGCAGCAGAGGAGCCAGCGCCGGTCGTGCCGCGCTGCTGCTGCTGTGCTGTCTCACTCCCCGGAGCGCACACACATCCCCTTGGAACGCTGTAAGAACGCCTCAGGACCCCTCCTCTGCCGCCCTGCCCTTCCACATCCTCCTACAGCCCCGGGGGTACCGCTGTCGTGATACGAAACGTTACAGTCACTGACAGGTTCGGAAACTGACAACTTTTGTCATCAAGATTTCTTCATCCATAGCACAGTTTACAACAGAGATGGTAAACATTAAAAGATAATTCCTTAATTTTTTTTGGTAATTTTAAATACTGAAAATTAAAATGTTGAGGAGTTTTTACAGTAAATAATTTCAGATTAGCTGTATCTACTTTCGGTCGTGTTTCTACTACGTTGTGTAAAACGTCAATGTTTATTAAGGTCATGCATTTTTTTAAAGAGAGCACGAGAATGACAATATTTTACTTGTCTCAAGCAGATACTACGGATTGAAGAGGGTAAAATTTACCTCACTAAATCAAGTCCTTTCAATCTTAAGCAATGGTTTTTAAATGTCCCTGCCCCTCACACCGCTCCCCGCCCCTCACACCGCTCTCACACCGCTCTCACATCGCTCCCCGCCTCTCATACCGCCCTCACACCGCACCCTAGCCCTCACACCGCCCTCACACCGCACCCTAGCCCTCACACCGCCCTCACACCGCACCCTAGCCCTCACACCGCCCTCACACCGCACCCTAGCCCTCACACCGCCCTCACACCGCACCCTAGCCCTCACACCGCCCTCACACCGCACCCTAGCCCTCACACCGCCCTCACACCGCACCCTAGCCCTCACACCGCCCTCACACCGCACCCTAGCCCTCACACCGCCCTCACACCGCACCCTAGCCCTCACACCGCCCTCACACCGCACCCTAGCCCTCACACCGCCCTCACACCGCACCCTAGCCCTCACACCGCCCTCACACCGCCCTCGCACCGCTCCCCGCCTCTTACACCGCCCTCACACCGCCCCCCGCCCCTCACACCTCCTCTCACGCCACTCCCCGCCTCTCACGACCACGTCCCGCCCCGAATTGCACGGGGCGCTGCCGCTCGGGTCGGTTCGCGGTTTCCGGCGCGGTTCCGTGCTCCTGCCCTGCCCTACCCTGCTTGGTTCTCGGCGCTCCCGCTCCCACCATGGCGCTAAGGAGGGGTATCCCACCGGGCCGGCGCCATCCCGCAGGTAGGGGCTGAGGCTGCTCCGGGCGCGGTGTGAGGGGCTCTGCCGCCGCACTGTCCCACACAGGTGCAGCCGCTCCGCGGAGAGGAGCGGCAGTGTGGGACCGGGAATGGTGGAGGCGGGTCTGTGGTACGCGGCCCGCTCGGCCCAGCAGGTCCCGCAGCCGCCCCATCACGGGTGCGCTCGGTCGGCGGGTGCGGGGCTGGTGCCGCTCGGTGATCGCGAACGAGTTATTGAGGGATAGCGAGAGAAGTGGGTGTTCATGTTCAATTAAATGTCTGTGTTTAATCTTACAGCCGTATCCCTCGCCTCCTGTAGTAACGTGAAGAATTTTCTTCCACTCCACCAAGACCTCCCTGCCCTGATAGATCTCTCTGTGAGGCAGCCTTCGAGCAGCCTACTGTTCCAGCCTCCGCTCTGCCCGTGTGGCGGCTGTAAGGATGTAGTACTGGGATTTGAAGAGTATAGTAGCGAGAGTAGTAGCGCCTGTGTTTGTTGGGGGAGCATGTAAGTGCATACAGTGAAAGCAGCTCCTGGGCCCTCCCAGGAGCTGTACGGAGCTCTCTCAAACACACTGGTGTGTGGGCTGTGTCCCGCCTGTTCTGGGGCACACGCAGAGATGCTGCAGGCTCAACCTTTGGAGCTGCGGGATGGTTACTGCAAGGACAGCCACTGCCTTTGAAACTTGAGGAGCCGTAACTACAAGGCTTTAAACCAGTTAGGGCTTCACCTCGGTTTATTAGGAGCAGCTAGTGCTTTAAGGAGCACATACTTGTGTGTCTCCCCGTACCTCTAAGAATTGTTTTGTTTTCTTGAAAATATTTTTTGTTAGGAGTTTTTTTTTAGCATGCTTTTACATGAATTTGGGATGTAAACCATTTTTTTCAGCTTGTCTCTAATCCATTCTTGGACTTTTATGTATGTGTGTGTCAGGGATAGTTGAGCTGTACCTGAAAGGGCCTTTAAACCACTGCAGTCAGTGACCTGGAGGAGGTACTGGTCTTTCTGAACCTGCATGATAGTAAACTATCTGTTTATGATAGTAAACTATACTGTAACTTGTAGACTTGGAAGTCTTGGTGAAGCTTATGTGTGACTGCAGTGGGGACCAGCTTGGCTGAGGTGTGGAGGTAGCAGAATAAGTGGTTTCAACCATGTACTTAGTGACCGAAGTTCAGGTGGGCATCTTTATTCTGACCAGTATTCAGCCAAGCTATCTTTGTTTTCACTTGGTTTGTTTTTGTGTGGTTTTCTTGTTTGAGATTTTTTGTTGTTGGGATTTTTTTTGAGGAGAACATAAAAGGGAATGCGCCTTCTTACTTTCTTGTTTTATTTTTAAAATACATGGTTTTTTAAAAAATGGAAATTAGAAAAGATTTTATCACTTAACTGTTAGATTAAATGGCTAACAGGTCACTTATAAAAATAAAAAAATTGAGCTCTGTATTAAAAGTCTGACATACTTCTCTATTGCTTTGGAAAGCAAATTACAAAACAGCTTTGTGGTGCACCCCAGATGCATCTGTGTTTAACTCTTCCCCCACCATGGATGTGTGTGAGCAGGTGGGACAGCTGTTCCTAGTGGCTAGTTTCAAGTCAGTGCAGAGATAGAAAGGAAGACGGATTATTTTTAATCACTCTAGATAACGTTGTTTTGTGGGCCTATTGGTAATAGACATAATTTCAGACTCTCCATGCTTCAGTATCTCTTCCCATGTTTGGGTTTCTCCTCCTTGCCTAGCTCCCGTTGTGCTTTGTGTAAAGCCTCATAGTGTTAAAATGTCTGCCTTTGTCTGGATCTCCTTGTCCTGCTAAATTAAAACTAGAAACAATGCTTGTATTTAGAAATTGCCAGTCGTGCATCTGAGGGAAGGTCCCAAACCAAAAGTTGTGGGTCTAGGTTCAGTTACCTTTTTTTTTTTTACCTAAATCCAAAATTTTAGTGATTTTCCTGTTTGTGGTTTGGCTGGTTCCTAAAAAGACAAGAGCCTAAAATCTGTGGGAGAACACTTGGGATAACTTGCATTGGGGTTCTGGGTGAATTTATATAAAGAGAAATGATGTCAAGAAGACCTCTTGAAAGCTGCCAGGCCTTTCTTTGTGTCATCTGGTTTGTTTTTGTTGATATTTGGTTTGGGTTTTTTTGGTTTGGTTTGTTTTTTTTACATATCTTGTCATCCTAGTTTGAAGATTTGAAGATGCCTCAAAGACAAGGAAGTTTCACACTTGTGAGTTGAGGGTGTTTAGAATCTCAATTCTCTTTACTGGAAACAAACAGTTTTACTTGGAAACAAACAGTTGAAACTTTCATTTCAGATACTTTTCATTTTGCAGGTAGGCTGCCAGAAGGATTAAGTTCAGTCTAGGTCTCCAGTGTATTTGCAGCTGTAAGATGATTGTGCAAAGAATTTGCTGCTTATGCAGCAGTGTAATTAACTGTATTATGTCATTTTATAAAGAGAAGAAAAGCCAAGTCTAGCTATAGCATAACTCTGATATTGTAGTGCTGCTTTTGACATGACTGAGGGAGAATTTTTGTTTTTAAAATAAACCCACAATCAAGAAATACAAGGTCAGGAGCCAGATTTGGTAGAAAATGGGTGTTAGTTACAGATGGATACAAATGCATTTCTCATGCTAGCTAGTTGAGTAATTCTAGAAATCTTTCCCCATTCCCTATTCTCTCCTGCCCCCAAATTTAAACTCTCGCTTTGATTGTTCATGATCAGAATAGGAGTCTTGCTGAGAGGTGAAGCAACTTGTTCAATAGCATGAGAACAGAACACTAAGGTTGTTCTTTCTTACTCACAGTTTTAAAACTTAAAATGCTCTTCTGAAGAGAAAGTATTTGTTTTAAGAGAATGTTTTAGATAACTTTACGTGTTCTTTGTTCACAATTCAGTTTTCAGACATGCCTCAGAAGGTAAATTGTTATTGTTAGGTCACCTGTAGCTTAATTAGTTAATTAAGTTTTGTTAATTAGTTTTGATTGGCAGATATGTTAATAAAACATAATTAACCATGTTGGAACACAACATGAGTATACATCTGGTTCTTATCTGCATTATTAGATTTATTCTGGAATACCCTGAACTAATCATGAAACCCTTACTGCTGTTAGTCACATTGTTCAAAACCCTGAAAGTGGTGGTGGTTTGGTTTCCATTTTTGTTTTTAAAATACAAATCTGAGATGTAATAATTTCTGCGGAAGAATGCATATTAACGTAGTAAGGTGTTAAGGTTTAATATATGTAGCAGTGCCTGAAGCCACTCTGATTCCTTGATTTTTGGTATCTGGAAGTTGATTTGAGTCTGCCACGACACAGAATTGTAAAGCCTTTGCTGCATCTCTTTGGCTACTCCTGTGTATGTGTGTGTACAAGTAAGGCATGGAGTTAAATACTGAAAGATTATTTCTGGTTAATGGTTTTCTGGAGAAAAAGTATTCTCTTCTTGTGTATGTAATGTGCTATGTAATTCTGTAGCTGTTTTTCCTTACATTTCACTTTCTTCTTGCAGTTAAAGCTGGAGGTATGAGAGTGTCTAAAAAGCAAGAAAATGGACCTGTTGAGAAAAGTACTAAACCTCCAGGAAAAGAAAAGTCAAGGTATTACAATGCAGGGCCTGTTCACCCCTGCCCTGTAGTTCAAGTTCATAGGTAATGATCTCTGAAAACAAAGAAAACTCTTATTCTGCAAGAGTTTAATTCTTAAATTAACTTGTGCAATTATAATGCTGATATTGAAGTAAGTATTGATTTTAAAAAACTCCAAAACCCAACAACTTCAAAACCCAAGGACAGTGCCTTGCAATGAAAGGCAAAGGCTGAATCTCATCTCTATTGTCATGTTTTATGGAACAGAAATTAAAACAATATATTACATACCTCTGCCTAATAAAGGAGTTATTTCCAGTACAGTTATTTCCAAACAGTTTCCAGTGGAGTAGGAATGAACTTTAGGCTGTCCACATTCTGAAGGAAATTAAACCTACATCAACTACCCCCAAGGAAGAGTCTTATCTCCTGTATAGGCTATACCCTCTATTTCAGTCTAAAATCTAATTTGGCTTTTGCTGTTTGCTACTTTATAAGGTTAATCAAGCTGTTTTGCCCCAAAAACGAAGGCATGCTTCTGTTTTGAATAAAGTAACAGCAACCAGTTGATGTGGTCATTAAAACAAGTATTTTCTTGCAGCTTTTTCAAAGACTGAACATTTTTCTTAAATACACGAACTTTTCTTAAATGTCACTTAACTTTTTGTTAAGTCAACCAATATAAGAATATGACAGTTAAATTTGAAATTTGTGATTTCTTGAAACTTGTGATATTCCTGAAGTTTTTGTTGTTGTTGTTTTCTTCTGGGATTAGAAACTATTTATTTTCACTTGTCACCAATAATCTGGGTGTAATTTTGCAGCTGCCTTTTCCATAGTCATAGTTACTTAATGGTATAAGCAGATAAAATAACTTATATTTCTTATATTTCAGTGTAGCAAACTGTTGATTGGTAAATTGAAATGTCAGTAGGAATGTCTTTCCTGATCCACAGAATCATTAACTTAATTAAAGCAATATCTGCTTTTTCAAGGGTCATGTTTATGGTATTTGGGGTTTATAATGATTTTTCCCTACTCCATTTTAAGCTACAGATGTGTCAGTGGATATAATAGTATCATCAGAAGAATGTGCTGTCTGAAGTTCTTCCTGTTGTTGAAGTAAATTATTTCATATCCACAGATTTGTTTATTTGTGGAATATTGGTAACATGGTGTTATTCACTAGAATATGGAGGATTTAATGGGATATTCTTGTGAAAAAAAAGTTCTTGCTTGACAAATAGTTGCTGTGAAAGGAAACACTCTCCAAAAGCAGAGGGTGAATTTTTTTCATGTGTCTAGGTTGGAATCAAGAAAACTTTTTGTAGATCAGGGTATAACTGCTCAGCTTCTGAGAAGTTATTTCAGTGTACAAAAAAAAAAATCCTTTTTGAGATAGTCAAGGATATTTCTTATACAGTGTTTTTGTATATCTGAATAAAATAGCCTGTCACACAGATTTTCTGTTGTTCCATTCTGAAACACCATGCCCTTTTTGATATAATATAGTTTTCAATGTGATGAAAAGACAGCTCCAAACCCTAAATTTATATTGCAAAATGTTCTGTATTAAGTCTGGAAAATGAAAGTGGCAAGTGCTCAAGTGTTTCTGTGAGATGGAAATGCTAATCATGTTTTTCTTCTGCTTTACAGTGCTATTGTCAGTTTTGCAAAACCTGAGAACATGGGTGTCTTGGTAGCAGAAGCACTGAACAAAGTAAGTCTGGAAGAAAAACTCAGTGTTTCTTCATAAATCTAAACATGAAAAAAAAGTTAAAAAGTGAACTTTCCTTAAACTGGTGTCTGGGAGTTGCAGGTTTTTTCATCTGCCACTATTCTTGGGATGATTTGTTTCTGTAGTGGTTGTGTGGCTGAGCTGCTAGATGGCTAGGAAGTACCTGGCCTTCTCTCCTTACTGATTCCTCTCCCAGTTACTGCGACATGCCCTGGGTAGTTGTGCATACCTGTACAGAGAAGCACAGCCAGACAGTGAGGTGTGTCCTGCTTGCAAAGTAGCATGGTGCATTAGTTTTGGTGAAATATGGGGAAGAATTACCAGCAGCATGTGTCTGGCTGAACTGGGATTACAGTGCAGAGCAAAACCTTGTCTTCAGTGCTTTATCCCACTGTGGAAATCACTCCAACTTCTGTAAGGGTCCAGCAAAAATACAGAGCTGTTTGAGGAAGGGAGGTGGCATGACTGGCAGGGGACACCAGGATGGTGATCCAGTGTCCTGCTCTGTGAATGATCTCTGAGACAACAGGCACATCATGTCCTACTGCTGCCCCATATCTTGCTGTTTCATCTGAGGCCTGACATCACTCAGTCAAGAACCTTTTGACTTCTCTCATAGGAATAACATAGGATCCTGTGAAATCTTGTATCCCACAGCTGCTAATGGACCCTTCTGTTTATCACATGCTTACAGCTCCTGCCCTGTGTCTCAGGCTGCTGGTGCAGACTCACACCTGCCCTTTGGAAGAGCTGATTTTACAAGCAGCTCTTTGGTTTGCATGGTAATCTGAAGACCTGACAGTTATCTCTCTGTTACATTCTTGCAGTCTTCAGACTCTGAAGCATACAAGAGTTCCTCATCCCTAGAGCTCAATAAAACATCAGTTGCATAATTGCAACACAAGCCTTTTTTCAACAGTTGTGTTTATATCTTTAGCCTGTAAATCTTGAATTTTTGCTTAGACTTTTTTAAGGAGAACAGATACAACTCATCCTCTTCTCTTCTACCTGTCCTCATCTCCTCTGTTCTGACACACTGTTTCCTTCTCCTGTTGGTTTCCAGAATCATGTATATAAAGCTTCCTTGCTACTTTAGAATGTGATAATTATCTACTGTAATAATGATGATTTTGAACCTGGGAAAATAAGAATTTGATTCAACTTACTGTTAACTCTGGCATACTGATTATTTGCTGTTTTCCTTATCTTGGAAGCTCATTCTATGAACTGCTAAACAAGGGAAGAAAAAAAGATTCAAAAATTCCCTAAAGGAAGTCAGACTAATGTCACTTTGAAAACAGAAATTATAACTAAATATGCCAAGTTACTGTGATTGTGTGTATTAATCACTTGAACTTTTTGTGGGTTTAGGTTTTACTTCTTCTTTTAAACTACTTTAATAGGATGAAATATAGAAAGAGAATAGCTGAAAATCTGTATTCTATCACAACTTTTTTTCTTCCCCCTTTAATGTTACAGATGAGCCACAAAATCCATGCAGCAGCATTACAAGTGGCTCACCAAAAGCCGCAGCCTACTTTGGAGAAGTTCATATTGCCTAAAAGAATTTACATTATTCAACAGCCACGGAAATGTTAAGATAATCATTGAAATACTTATGTTTACTTAAAAGTGAGTTTCTATTTCATATAGCACTTAGCACGCTGTGGTGAAGTGCTCAAAAGCTATGTGCCTTGTATCTTGCTGTGTTTCTGTTACTGAGAATAAAATATAAGAAGAGTTACTAAATGTACTCAGGATTTATTACAATACCATGGCTTCTATCTAACCTGTTACTGGTATATAGTAATTACTCAATACCAAAAAGTCTAAGTTTCACTTACTGTGTGAGTTTTGAGTGAAGGAATGGAAACTGTCAGCCCTGTTGTTTTGGGTTTTTTTTTAGTTTAATGGTAGCAAAGCTGATGTGAACTTGATTCTAAGAAAGCGGGTCATGACTGAAAGACATGGGGCTTCATTCAGTTGAACCTGAGGTTTTCCATGGTGAATGCATGCCTGAGACTTGCTGCATGATAAGTAATTCACAAAGTCCTGGGAAGGTTTTCAGTGCAATGAAAGAAGTATTTTTCGCTTGCATTTCTTTCTGTAAGAAAACCCAGCTCCTCTACAGGGATGCAGCAAGCAGGAAGAACTCAGTGGAAACAGTCTATTTGAACCTATTTGGGACTGGGGTGGCTAAATGAAGGAAGTACCTGACTTGAAGCTGACCCCTTGGCATAGGAGGGCAGGTAGTAGGGAGGAGACAAGGTGCAGAGAATGCTGTGATTGCAGTTTGGAGTTAGAGTTGGTAGAATGGGGTATGAGACTTAGCACTGACTGGTAGTAGTAGGGATGTGAAGGGTCAAGCTTAAAAAGTGGGAGGAACAAGTGTAAATCCCAGTCCAGGCAATGTCCTTGAGCCATGACCTGCTTGCAGTGACCCCAGGGACAATAGAGAGAGCTAGAGGATAATAAATAATGTCCTGCTATTGAGATTTGGTTGTGGAGCTCCACTGACTCTGAATTTAATTCTGCTATGACTATATTTATTTATTTTTTTTTATGGTAGTGATTGCAGAAGAGTATTGTCCCAAAACTGGTTCTTTCACTTTTTTGGTGTGCAAGAAATTGATCCCCATACAGAGTGGAGGGTTTTGATTTATGTCTAGTTGTATGCAGAAGGGAGTGCTGGGTGATGAATTGTCAGAGCTGGCACGGAGACAGACAAGGCAGGCACACCTGTAGGTTACAGTCTCAGGTCAAGCAGATCTTACTTCAGTCCATGGTTAAGTTGCTGTTAGCTTCCCCTCTCTGTCTCAGTCTCAAGGTATAGTGTTCCAAGAAGTCATGGTATGTGCTCAGTAAGCAGTGGGCTCTTGGTGGGTAGAGGGGGCTGAGCTAGGGATGTGATTTTTACTATTTTAATTATGACATAATGAGGAAAGTTCATGGCATGGGCAAGTTCTCGCCACAGAAACAGTCAGACCGGGGGGTTTGTTGGCCCGTCATAATAAGATCCTGAATAAGAAGGGTGTGATCTTTTTATTCTGTCCCCTTCAAGGACCTAGAACATCAATTTTCTGTTTTCTACATTCCTGTGGCTGTTTCTCCTATTGCTTTGTTGTCTGTCATATTTGGAACTTTGCTCCTGTTATTCATCAATTCCCCACTTCCATATGTATGATTCTTCTTATGCATATCATAAGTCTCACTTTGGAACCATCACATATTTTCGTGAAAGGAACCACAGGGCTGACAGGACATAAGTCAACTGCTTCATGATTTCCCAAATGCAAATACATAGTGCTGCAATTAAGACAAAACATAAGAGGGGTAGTATTAGGAGAACAATAAGGTAATACTCATTTAAACTCCCTGTAGTGATGGTAAGTGACCATCTGAAAGGTGTTCCACTATTCATGTGCTCTTTCTCACTTCACTTGGTCCAACCCTTGTGTGCTTTCCACATCACGATGGAAATCAAAGTATTTTATCCATTCTTCTGAGCTTGTTTCAGTAGTTGTTGCAGCTCATGATGCTATAATAATTTTCTTACTAAAGGGCAGCAGGTCTTGAATCATCATATAATTATACTGCAATAGCTTGTAAAATGTGACAGGAGCTGAATAACTGAAATCCCACCCATCAATTTTGGTGAAATTATTAACACAAACATTAGACTAATTATCTGTATCTACAATAAGGTTGTCTACAACTATGAAGCCACAAAGTGTTCTCATATAAGCACATTGTTTTCGAGTATATAAAAGTACAGGTTCATGAGCTTCATCAGGATGGATTCCAAAATGACAAACACTATTCTGGATCCAGACAAATGTCAGGGCTTTGGTGTTAGCGCACAAGTGAGTCCCTGTTCCCATGCAGTGCATGTGCTAGCACTGATGGATTGCCATTCCCCATGGGTCCATGTCCTATGCTCTGGGGTAGCATTATGATTCAGGCCTAGTGCAGTGGCTGAGTGATGGACACAGAGGCATCCTATATGGATTAGCACCAGGAGCGTGCTATTGATGGTATTATAGGTAAAACTGACTAAGTGCCACCAAGGCTGTAGTTCCTTTGCAAATTCAATCATTATTCCAAATTACTTTTTGAAGTTCAGTGGGTAAAAGTGCCTTCTTCACCCTCTCTTAAAATTGCTGCTTCTGCTGTTGATTCTATCCACAACTGAACTCGGACGCAGCTAAGAGGCAAAAAACCTTCACCTTTGGTTGCTCCAAGTGCCTCTGGGATCAGCTATGAGCTCACTCATTGATTCTTTCCCGCTGAGGCAATGTGTCACATAAGAGCCATTGATTAGTTTCTAATGCTGGTAGAGAAGACCACAGAGAGTGTTGCAATTTGCTTAAATCACTTGTGGTTGTGCTCAGGTTATTTATAAGTAGTTCAGCATTTGTACAATTTAAAACTCCCAAGTCCCTGTGCTTCCAGTCACATCTCTTCTTGTTCCTTTTGGAGAAGTGGGGATTTGCCCACAGTTAGCCAAGCTAACTGTCTTGCATGGGAAGCACTTAAGAATGGTGATCACATTGATTTAAGTGTAGAAATATTAACCTGCATTATTAGTTCTATTTGTTTAAGAAACCAAGGTCAATTAAACAACATTTTTTGCTGATCTGCATTTATGATCACATGGTCCAATTTAAAAAATTTGTGGGGATTAAATTTTCTCATCCTCTTTGGCTGGACAGATGTAGGTAGTTGTTTTGATTTCAATAATACCAGCCTTGAGTTTAAATGTTAGTCCCACATTATGGTGGTCCCAAAGGCATATAACAAAAACAGATTTAACCAGAGTAACATTATACCAGCAATTCCACCTTTTGTTGGCACAAAATTTCATGTCTTTTGTGTTTGACTATGAAACATTGAAATCTTAGTGGCTTTCCCATGCGTAGATCCATTGATCATTCTGCAGCCTATCAAATTTTTTCTTGGGTTGCTCCTTTCAAGAGAGGAACCTAACTATATCTATCTCAACCCAACCCGTGTTCTAAATATGCTTCAGCTCCATGCATACCCAGAGTAGTGAAATTGTACACAAAAATTGTGTACTTAAATTCATGCTTAATATGAAAGGTGATACTCAAAAAATGGTTACACTGTCAATGAGGATTCTTTTTAAAGTGCATTTTCCACATGACTGCAGTGGAAAGCTATTGCAAACATATGAGACACTCCCTCTAAAATCAAGGGGTCCTGCAAAGGTTACCCAGAGTTAGTGTTGCCATTTAACACTAATGTCTGTGTCTTTTCATCCATCCATCCATTTTGCATCAAATGTAAATACCCTTGTGTTGATTAAAGATTAAATTATGATCACAGGAAGTGATGATTAGTAGCATATGCAATAAATAATTTGGTTACACCTTGAATAAATAGAAGAAATTAAAATAGTGCTTCTCCTTTGAAGACAACTGTTTTTTATCTCTGGTTCCATAACTGAATGATAGCTATTTGTGAAATACTCTTAATGTTATGCTGGACAACAGCAACAGTATACTTTATGGGTCTTGAAGTTGTAGGTATGGGATTTGGAAAACAGTCTGATTTTGTATGTTTTATAGCACATTTCTATTCCCCAGGCTGGCTCTATGGCAGTGAATATTGATATGAATGTTAGGGAACAAACAGGACTTGAGTCAAAGCTGTCCATGTGTCAAATGACTGACTATCCGTCCTCTCAAAGCCAAAAATACCACAGTGCACTCTAATGTATCTATGGCCAATACATGCTCCCTATACAAAGAATATTCATGAAATCTTTAGAATTCTAATCTTTCTGCTTTTTGTTTCTGAAGAAAATCAATAACTAGTGAAAATTTGTAGGGTCTGATTCTGCAGGCCTTTATGAACAACACTTTGTATGAAGCTGAATGTTATTTAACTGTTTAAAACAGTATGTTCAGGGAGGGGGAATGTGCTTGGTGTAGAAGGGAGCTGTAGTAAATCCCTTTTGTGGCATAAATCAGGTCATACAGTGATTGCTAAGGATGGAACAGTTTATTACCATTCAACTGTTAAAAAGCCCTAGGCACTGCTCTGTGCAGTGCACATTTGGCAAGTGCAGTCCCCAGAGAGGAAGTAGGTATATTCAG